ATATATATATATATATATATATATATATATTTTTCATCACAGCAAAAATGTTTTTTTGCCTAACAGTAACAAAAATAATGATTAAAAAGTATATAAAGAAAATATCACTAAGAAGTACAGATCAAAGAAAACATTTACATTTTAAAAAGAAAACTTGAAAAAGATATAAATTAGAAAAAAGATACATTTACGTTGTGCCGGAACTGTAACTTATTTGAATGTCAAACCACCATGAGACGTGGAAAGGGACGCAGAGAGATGGAGATCTGGAGTGTTTATTAACACGTGTGCTTGGCCAATCTTAATGTGTTATGAAAAGCATGTACACGCTATGTTAAATGTATTGGTATGGCAAACAAAAAATCTTCTCCGTCGTGAGATCATTACTGTAAGTAAAATAATCATTCTTAGCTCTTCTACGAGAATTTTGAAAATTGAGGTTATATTTAAGGTTATGTTGTGTCGATTTATAATGCTTTTTCTTAAACATGGAGACGTGACACGCTCCGAATATAACAAATAGATAAAAATGATTATTGTATAGGTGAGGAACTATAGGATAACGAGAATCTGCGCGCATGAGAAAGTTTGGAAGAAGCTCAGGATGGAAACCTCGCTACCGTCGAGGATCGACCCCGTCGTCATGAAGCTGGACAGCCCAGAGTTTCGATCCGTATTTACGCCGGAGTTGCAAACTCTTGCGGGCTTGTTCCAGAAATACAATTACGAGCTGAGGATCGCCGGCGGCGCGGTGCGTGATATTCTGATGGGCAAGCAACCCAAGGATCTTGATTTTGCCACAGATGCGACGCCACAGCAGATGAAAGAGATGTTCACGAAGGAGGAGATCAGGATGATAAACGAGAAAGGCGAGAAGCATGGGACAATCACGGCGAGGCTGAACGATAAGGAGAATTTTGAGATCACCACCTTGCGGATTGACATTCTGACTAATGGACGGCATGCAGAGGTGCAGTTTACCAATGATTGGAAGTTGGACGCTAATAGGAGAGATCTGACTATCAATTCTATGTTCCTTGGTCTTGATGGCAAAGTATATGATTACTTCTATGGTTACGACGACCTGAAAAAGAAGAAAGTAGTTTTCGTGGGTGATCCCAATATCAGGATACAAGAAGATTATCTTCGAATCTTGAGGTATACACACACACACACACACACACATCAGATCTTATTGATTACAATATTAACATTGCAATACAATATTAGTATTATTTAATAATTACATGTACTGATAATTTCATTCTTTGAAATTATCAGTACATGTAATTATTAAATCTTTGAAATACTAACATAAAATGATTTGCATCGTCTAATAATGTTTTCAGATACTTTCGTTTTTATGGAAGAATAATGGACAATCCAGATCAGCATGACGAAATGACGATAAAGGCGTTGAAGACAAACATCGGCGGCTTGAAGCAGATATCCGGTGAGAGAATTTGGAGTGAGTGGAACAAGATCCTGAGCGGGAACTTCGCTCTGGAATTAACTCTGAAATTGCTCGAGTGCGGTAGCAGCAAGTACATTGGTCTACCCGAGGAACCTGACGTGGAGAATTTCCGAATTGTCTATCAGCGCGCGCAGTCTAATAATATAACGCTGAAACCTGTATCTCTAATAGTGTCGATGCTAAAGGACGAATACGATGTGATCAAGTTACACGAAAGATTGAAACTATCTAATTTCGATAGAGATTTAGCGCTCTTCTTAGTTCAGCATAGAGAATGCAAGCCATGCGAAAAGCCGTTGAAGCCTTATCAACAGTTGGCTCTTCTTCACCACACGAGGAGAAACGATATCCAGCAAGAATACGTGAAGGAGATACTGAGATATCGCGGTGCGGTACAGCTTTTGGATGAATTCGAGCGATGGGTGATTCCAAAATTTCCACTCAATGGCGGCATGTTGACAAAACATGTGCCGATAAGAAAGATGATGAATAGCGTAATGAATGAATTGAAAAAAATATGGATCGATGCGAACTTTGAGCTCACCGAGGAGCAACTTATGAAGCATGTATCAAATATAGTCAGCGAATTGCAAGAAAAATATGAAACGTTAGATAAAAATAAGAGCAAAAAGGTGAAATAAATTTTTTTCGAAATATCGAAGTGATTTGTAAAATGAACGGTATCGTCTCTTTATAAGTGAATAGAATTGTTTAATTTCTTATCGTTTTATAAGTTAATTAGTCTAGATAATTAATAATTTATTATTGAATATGAAATAAACATGAAGTGATTTTTGCACGTTTTTTTTGAGTTATTTCTGAAATTAAATAGAATAAATTAGAAAAATGCGGAAATAACTGAAGGAAATGACTAAAAGATGTCAATATGTCGAATATAAATTTAATTATACTGGCGATTTATATCAGTATTCATATTTCTTCTGAAAAGCAAAAAGAAACGCGTTGTATATTAGGCACTCAAAAATTTATTAAGAAATAAAATCCTGCATTCTTTTTCCTGTGAATATAAACTCTGCAACATGTGCTGTATGTACAATCGTAGCAGATGTATAAAACGAAATTTGAGAAGCTACCGTGAAACATTAACTAAAACGTAGACATTTTGTACTCACGTAACAAGTAGTTGCTAAATATATAATAAATGAAATTCCAATAAATGAAATTGTATAGTAAGTCAATGTTGCTGCATGTTTCGTATGTCGAAAAGCGCACTTTTTGTATAAAGATAAATGTATAGAGTTCTTGTGACTTGCACATGTACGAGATATAGATAAAAGGAAAAGCAAACAATATTATATGCAACGTATGCATGTTCGAAACGAATAGCGACAAACTGCGATCGCAGCAAGATGACAGATAAATGTAATCTATCGCTTAGCTGTCATACAATCATTTGGACTTGCATAAAAATAATCACTTATATGTATTTTGGCTATTTCAAGTTACATCATAGATCATCCCTAAACACTCAGATCTTTACAGACGCATACGCATTACTACTGCAATAAATGCAATGTGATTAGATGTACATATATATGTATATATACATAATATATATACATCTACATATATATATATATATGTATACGTACAATAATACAACAGCTATTCAGTTATCGATACCCATATCTTAGTACACGTTTTTTATTCCTTTACATTTTTTTTTTAGACACTTCTTTTGATAGCATTACATTCTGCTAAGTACAATTATTCTGTTCCATTTTCTTGGATTTCATCATGACGAGATCAAAAGCGTGATCATGTTGTTTCTCACTTATAAAGATCGGTAAAGATCGAGATTTTAGACTGCGTTTGTTATTGTCTTAACCCTTCTTAGTGATGACATGAGCAGTGTGCATCATTACACTATGCTACTAGTCGACATTGTTATTAGCTATGTACTTAGAAGGGCTAAGATTTCAAAGAAGTCAGAAATCAATTTTGAGTAGAGTGAACATCTAAAAATTCAACCCCTTGAACATGCAGTTTAATGAATCAATTATCAGAGAAAATAAAATGGTGCAACTAAAAATTGTCGAAAAAAATATTTTTTCTTATCGTAATTCTGCGCATTCAAAGGGATGATATTTCCGGAATTATCAGGAATACATATAATGATTATTATTGCACTTCACGTAATATTTTACACAAACTATGTTCTCCAAATTATCAGGATACCTTATCATAGATATATTTACTTCAAGAGAGTTATGCAAACTAGATATGTATATATATATATCGAAGGATCGATGAAAAACTGGCAACACAAATTTCCATAAAGCAATCATGTCTTTGCACAAACGGAAATCGAAGAATTTTACATTCAACTGTACATTTCGTGTCGCATGCCTAGAATGTATAAATCTCTCGAATATTTTCAGACTAAATTACGAGTTTCTAATAATGTTCACATTACTTAATACAGCATACGACAAAAGATATCTCTTCAATAAATATCTCCAACCATGAATTTAATTTTATATCATAAGTACACATATAATACTTTTATTCTGTTTCGAACAAAATATTTTGACTTATCAATTCAAAGTCGTTATGTCTTATTATTTGACATAATGCATTTATAGAATTATTAAACTTAAAATTTCATATTTATTTTCTGTTAACGCTCACGCTTATCGATCGAAAGAGCAATAATCATATTTTTAGCAATGCAGAATCTTCAATATACATATTGAGATTCACATCCGCCATGCATAAATAATGAAATATAAATAATTAAATAAATAAATAATTAAATACGTTCCTGAGATTTTATAAATATTTATCAAAATAAAGAACCATTTATAAAAATTCAATAGAAATAAATTTCCTTTTCTCGGGACACGTGTTCATTTGTAAACTTTTTCTCTTAATGAATCGTTAACATAGAGCGACTTAAATACAAAAATCTAATCTAGTAATAATCAACGTTGCGGACAATGTGTAAGTTATGTTTACATAATTTGGATATATATATATATATATGAACTTATATTAATAGAAACTTTGGTTTGCTATCAATCACGGTTTAGTGCAGTTATATTTACTAGTACTACTTTGTAAGGAATATATTTCATTATCTCGCAACTGATACGACAAGTAACTTAAGTAACTTAGGTATTGTCTTACTAATATCAAAAACGTGTATCGACTTATTCGAAACTTACTCATCTCAATCCTAGATTTCGTGTACATCGTTTTAATACTAATTGCACGATAATGCAACGTATCGTAGTATTACTGTTATATTTAAGTCGCGTTTGCCATGAACACGTTACAACGTTAAAATATACATAACCTGTGCACATACTAGTCCTTACTTATTTATGGAGTTTTGCTATAGTGTTACTCATTATAAGATATCATATTTACTTCCCAATAGATAGTAGTCGCCGTCGTAACGCATGTCCAGGCGTATGACTTCAAACACACCTAACGCATTTTTTTTGTGACATTGGGCATATGGATAAGTGTAACTTACAAGTGGTCAACAATAAGAAGCACAGTTTAACAAATAACTTCCTTCTACATCTTGCCATGAAAACTTACTCTATGACCAACGCGTTGCCCAGCGACCTATCAGCGAATGAAGTTCTTTAGTCTGTAAAGGAAAACACAATTTTTATATAGACTAGTTTATATAATATTTTATTAATAAAAATTAACATAATAAAAAAAGTTTACGCATTGATGATACTCAATCAGATTTTAAGATCTTTTACATACCTTGGCACATTCACCAGAATCAGAAATACATTTATGTGGAATATATATCTCTTGTGTTTTTCTTAGATTAGTGTCAACGCGTAGAAAGAAAGAGCCACGCAAGAAATTGTGAAAAAGTGAGTAAAATATCAAAATTAACTTCATAATAAGAGTAAGATTACCTTTAAGCAAAATAGGTGATGGAAAAACAATGTATCTTGTTCTGAAAAATTATCCTAAATCTTCTTTCGTAAGTAGCTCGCTGTGCACTCAATGGAAATACATTTTGGTATCGACTATGGATGACTTTTAATAAGCGGGGGCTTGAAAGTCACCCATACCCCGCTGTTGCTGTTGACCGAATGGCGGTTCTTGATAAGCAGTGTCAGTAGCGTCAGGATAACTTGTGTATCCTGTACCACCCACAGGATCTGCCTCATAACTTGGAGCGAATGCTGCATCGGTACCTTGTTTAAATCTTTGAAATGCGAACCAAGCACAAGCAGCCTATAACAATAAAATACAATTCTGAAGCAACAGAAAAATATGCTCGAGAAAGAGAAACAGATATAGATGTTAAAAAAATTAAATGTAATTTCGAATAAATTTTATTTAACGTACCCAAGTAAAGATGGAGAAGAATGAGAATGCAATAGCCGCTTGTACATTATTCACGCCATATCCACCCTCTGGATCTTTAGATTTATTCCATGCATTCGTCAAGTAACAGAATCCAACAAAATATAAAAAAGACCAGAAACCAGAGAAGCTGTAATTATGATATTAATATATATCAATATAACAAATTAAACAAAAAATTTTAAAGAGAAATTTTAATATTTCATACAAACTTACAATAATATCATTTTAACATACAAATTGTAAAAATATGCGCAACTTACCCCAAATCCAAGAGGACAAAATGTTTCCTAGTCTTGACAGATGACATTTGTTCAAAGAGATATTCACCTGCGAGAAATCCGATACTGGCCAAAAATGCCAGTACTCCAATACCAATCCCGTAGTTGCAAGCATTATTGTCGCCATTATAAAGACAAAGTTCCTTCCCACCCTCTTTCTCAGCAAGATAGCCCTTGCTGCTTATGCATCCAAAGACAATTATTGCAAATAGCTGGAAATATGATAAAAATACTATAATTCATTTCTATCAATATAAATTAACTTTAACCTTGGTTTAAGTTACTCTTTATTTTTTTAGTTCTAAAAATTAAAAGAGAATGGAGAGTAAATTAAACTGAGATTAAAATTAATAGATACTGATAGGAATGGACATAAATGATTAATCATTTTTCATTTACTTAAAAAGCAATTGTTTAATCATATACATAAATTTAGTATACTTTAATTTTACTATGTAAACTTGGATTAAGATATATTTTTTTTCTTTTGTCATATAAGTAACAATATATAAATTTATATCAATATAAATTTAAAAAAGATACAAGTGCCTAATAATTTGATAAAAAAGGTAAAGAATACAATATTGGGTAAAGATTTTTAAAATCTTAAGGCATTTAAGTTAAAAAAGTTTCAATTATTCCAGATATAATTCCAGCCTTAAAAGATCTTGGTTTAACATGTTCTAGCTACAGTCAACTAGCTATTATCAACTGCTATTTAACAATGCTTTATTATGTACAGAGAAAATTAGCATAATTTTTCGAGGAAAAAGAGAGAAAAAGAGAAAAAATAGATCCATTCTAAGAAACAAAATACTACGGGGGGGGGGGGAGGGGGAGGATCGACGGTCTCATTTCCGCATTTCAGCTAAGAAGGTCAAGTAAAGGATTCGCTCCTTATCAAATCGAGGCGTGGTGGATCTTCCAAATGGACATTGAACACCATGGAGAACCCATGGCACTCGGGTGCGTACCGTTGGAATTCACGAAAAATCAATAGAACCCCATCGTGACAGCGAGAGTGGGGAGGAGCCGAGGCTCTCTTTTAAAATCAATGACCATCGAGGGATCTCGCTTGCTCCCCACCTCTTTCTCTCATTTTCTCTCTCTCTCCTTCTCGTACACATCACAGTCATCGCGATGACGCCTGAATCGGCCCGAAACGATCCCGCTCTTGGGATTGCGACGACTTACCAGGCATACCGCTCTCAGAATGACCTGCGGCCGCTGGACGAACGCGATCGGATCGAAAGGGGCCCCGGCCTTTCCGCCGCCGTACGCTCCGCCGTCCATCTTAGTGCGACTGAAGCGGAGATTTCAAAGCTCACGCAGCGACCAAGCGCGCATGCGCCGCCGCTTCGACGACAGCGGTCCCCGGGGGGTGTAGGGTGTAGGTGTATGCGCGATCCCCAGCCACCTGAGGGGTGCCCGTCCCGAAATCCCCACGACCGCGAGGGCTCGAGCGAGCCCTCGCGATTCACCCTAATGCACCTTTCTCGATTTATCTTGCTTTTCCTTCGCGATTTTCCCCCATCATAATTAGTCATTGTGACTTTTTTACCTCTCGATTGAACACACCTCGAATGAAAATGTTAATTATTAATTTGTCAAATCTAGTTAATTTAAAAAATTTTTATACAAATATCACTCTTTAAAAGTAAAAGAAAATCAATTTTTTTTTAGAATTATAAGTGAAATGATATTAACTGTCAATATACATAAGAGATATTATATAAGAGATATTATATAAGAGAGGAATGTTTTTCTACAGTATTTTTTATTAGATGTATTTATGGCACATTTTTATAAAGAACGTTGTAAAAATATTTATATCTTATGTCTTATATATAACAAAAAGATTGTACATATAATATTGCCTTGCACATCTTAACCATATATAGAATTTTTATCTCAAGAATCTGGTAAACAATATATATGATGCGATGCATAATCCACCAAGTGGAATGCTGTATAATAGATAAGAATACTTTTGACTATCCTTAGGCTGTAAGAAACAAATTCAATTTAGGCATTTTTTGAAAATAGAATACAAGTCTAAAAGTTATCAGATAAAATCAGGATGTCTCATTAAAATGTATTAAATTTTCATTATGAATATATATGTATACCATAACTATCACAGCTTCCAGTTCATTCAGTTTCAACTCAGCTTCATTCACTTCTGCAAGAAGAGTGTCAGCAGCAATACACAAAATTTGAGAAGCACTCAAAGCCTTATCAGGCTCTATAAAGGAATTGATTCTTTCTTTTGTTAATCTCATCCTGCAGTATTTTAAAAAATCTTGAATTAAATGCAATTGTCTTTCGTTTAGTTGCAGTAGCTCTATTTTATCGAATATCCTGTAAAAAGCAAGACTTTTCAGTATCAATATTATTTATAAACAAATAAAGAATGAATTTTAATAATGATTTAATACCTTTGATGAGGTTTTAATGGTTGTTCTATGTTCTTCTTGATGTGTAAAGCATTAACCATGTTTTCTGCATGAACTTCATCAGCACCTAAAACAATGCATTATTATTATCATTAATTTTTTATATCATACATAGATATATATATATTTTTTTTTTAATTCTATGACTGTTAAAGAATTAAAGTTTCCAGGAAATTACTGTAAAATAATTATAATCTACTTTGCATTATTTTAGATCTTATATATGTACACATAACTTTAACCTCCTTTAAGCATCTTCTTATAGAATTTTCACAGAAGTATCATGTATCAATGATAAAGATTCAAATCTCTGTAAACGGAAGGTGGTAGCATAAAACGAAGAATGACATAAAGTTATCAAAGTATTATATTACCAAGTTGTATGAAATCTTCCTTGGTTAACTTATGCAGCACATCAGTCGAGATATTTCTCTTTTTGAATTCCTCTATTAAATTTTGCGCGTTTAGACCATACAGCAACGTCTCCGTCTGCTTGTTAAATCCTAGACCATCAAAATTCGTACCCATCTTCCTACGAAAGACTTCTATTCTTCAGAAATAAACTTTATTCTCTCACAAGTCTCTCGCAAATACATTCAAAAACTTATTTTGAGCCTTCGGCGTACGAGGCGGTTAATATCCATCTTCATCAATGTAGATAATAACTTTAATTTCAATTTAATTTACTTTTCATCTTTTATCAATTCTAAGAATTAGGAAAAAATAAAGAAAATGAACCTGAGATTAATATTAATTTTTGAGTTGACGAAAATAAACATCGAATCGAAAAAGCTGATGGTAATTTAATTCGTCGGTAAGGTAGATCTCTGCAATTCCTCCGCAGAGTTGGACGATTCGCGATGCGTAATGACGCGCGCCGTAGCTGAATCGAGTTAAAGGTATATACGTCCCCCCGTTATTCCGACTGACAGTTGTCGCGTCGCTCTCTCCCGGCTTCCCTCTCGGAGGTATGACCACCCTGATACTCGGCGTCGGCGTAGGATTGTTCGTCATCCTCAGCCTGTGGGTGCTGGCCGCGCTGATATTCGTGATATCGCTGCGCCTCGAGAGGAAGGTCGGCGTGATCGCTATACTGCTCGTGAGTGCGCTCACGATTATTTTGATCAGTGTGCCGCGCGCGTCGGAGAGGCCCGCACCCGCAACCAGCAAGGTATAGAAGATCAGCGAAATTTCCAAGTTTCCAGAAATCATTCTCTCTTTTCTCTGCTCATTCAACCCGAGCGCCAGATGTACGGAAAGGCCCCGACCTCGACTGAGCTCCGATTAAGCTTTTCTATGAGCATCTTCTCAATAGAACTCCTAATTATCTCTTAATAAAATTATTACATTTTTGCTGGACAGAAATCTCGTGTTGTAAAAAAGTATCGAGTCGATCATTAATTATATTAAAACTAATGGCAATTTAGTGAGGCAACATTTGAATTGCTTCGTTTTCTATTGGAAATTGAACGACGTATTCTTTTTGAAATGACAAAGGTCATTTCCGAAATTGAAATTTCCAAGTCAAGTTGGTTCTTCCAATGGTTGGCTTCATTCTGAAATCGATCACAATTAAAATAGTCATAAGGATAAAAATAGTGCAACATTAAATGAGGTCATTTATATTCTGAAATAGAATTGTGCGCATGTTTAAATGGATTTTTATTTTGCAGATATACGATCGACTCTTCATCTGGCGTGTAGTACTTTTAATCTTGTTACTCATTTCATCTATAATTTCCCTTGTGGGATATATCAAATTCGGATTAGTGGAGGCTGTTAGGCCAGTCCGGATATCCAGCTGGGTTCTCTAAGCGTTATTTAAGGATCTCTTCAGTACGTTTTGAATTAATGTAAATCTTATTAACCATAATAACATTGAAACTTCTTCATGATTGTACAAAGCGATAAATGTTTCTAGTAAATACTGCATTATTTATAACTATTGTAATAATTTTTTTTTTAGGTTTTTTCTGCTGAGAAACATGAAGACATTCAATATATGTAAGACTTAATTTACAAATGTAACATTTATCTTTACATATAGAATCTTTAACTTATTTATTTGCATAGTAAGAAAAAAAAGAACAATGTTCTGCAGTATAAGAAATTGTATGCCGGCTATGGTGAGGCGTATTTCGTTATTTCGTCAAAATAATAAACGGTATGAAATAAATAATAATAACGAGTTTGTGAACAAAGTGATGAATGGCAACGTGCCAGTTATAGTTAATTTTCACGCAGAATGGTGCAATCCTTGTAAGATATTAACACCCAAGTTAATAGAACTTATAGAGCCTATGGACAAGATAGATTTGGCTATAGTCGATGTAGAAGAGAATCCCGAGTTGGTGCACGTCTTCGAAGTGAAAGCTGTACCTGCAGTGATAGCAATTTCAAATGGCTTAGTTGTAGATAAATTTATCGGTTTAGTTAACAACGAGATAATAGAGAATTTAATACAGAAACTAACGCATGAAGGACCAATTAATACAGAAAGTAACGATACCAAGTCGTAATCATGGTAACATAATAAATTATGTAAAAAACACATTTTACGCTTCCATTTCTCTCTATTGATTAAATGTATTTTCATACTTGTAGAGAGAATGTAACATTTTAAGCTATTTCGTCCAAGAATTATGGCCTTTTTTATCTAATCATGCTCAGATAAGCAATAGGTAAAAATTTTAGATATATATTTATGTTGTAAAAGGCAATATATATATATATAAACTTAATGACGAAACTAATATATATGTAACACTCATAAATCTATTGATGTCCAGATTATATATTATATCGAAATATTTGTATTATATATAAATATTCTATGATACAGAGAGCTTGTTCAACAGCCTATATTCTTGAATCGACCAAAAATATATTAGAGATTCTCTTGAAATGTTTAAAACAAATAATAAAAGAAATCCTAGATTCTAGAAAAATTATTATAGAAACTATTGTGAAAAAAAACTATGAACTTGTATGAAACTTGTGATATATGTCTTTTTAGACACGACTTTTCGATATTCTCGAGATAGCTGTTCGTATCTTCAACACTCAACATTTATATATATATTATAAATGATATATACATTTCATAGAAATCATCTGACGAGTCAAACTGATAACGAATTATATGCAATGATGATAAATTTTCAAAGTGATTCGCAAACTGCGTTGACGTATAACGATACATATTTTTAAAATACGTTTCATACACATATTTTTCTGATGTAACTTAATTTCATTTTTAATAACATAATAATAATGATTTTGATTGATGTTCAACAGATTTATATGCTAATTTCTTAAATTGTACAAAATGTGTATATTAATTTCAGTAAATTGTTTAAAAGATTAGAGGACAGTTACTTCAGCGACTAAATCAAGCATGTATCTTTGTGGCAGTGCAATCGAGATAAATCATTATCTAATCAGATTTCAATATTTCTCGTTTATTATTGATCTTTGTGTACAATCAGTGTGTACGAAAGTACTGTCCATTAAAGATATAATAGGCCAGAGATATAATAGATTATTATTTCACGTAACTCTCTGGTGAAAGAGCACTCCTCTTTCTCCTTCTCCTTCCCGCTCCCCATTGCGTCTTTCGGCAGCAAGCGATACATAAATGTGTTACCAACAATTAAAAGACTAGCTATAATCTTTTTCATTATCAGTCAGGTGTATCTTAAGACACCATGATAAGGCAATGCTGTGATTCTGTGGTCACTTGCAAAAAACTATTTTTTCCTTCTTTCTATTTATCAGATGTATATATGCATTCATGCATACATACATGCATACATATATACATACGTACACACACACACACACACACACACACAGGGTGTCCCAAAAAATGGCCAAGCGATCATAGAGCAGACTAAACTGAATCGAAAAGTCCTGTACCATTTTGCGATTTTCACAATAATTAACGAGTTATTAATTTATGAAAATAGTCAAGTTACAAGCGTGAGATAGGAATGAGACAAGCGTTCGCCGTCGCTAGGCACGCGTGGAGCACGCTAGGTGCACACACGTAGAAGAAAGCGTAGTCAATGCTGCTTGTAATCAACAACTCCAAGCATACCACTTAGCCATTTTTTTGGAGACACTGTATATGTATGTATTTATGTATGGATGTATGTATATATATATATATATATATATATATATATATATAATATGTATAGTATTAGTTATGTTA